AAGATAGTAAAAAATGTCGATAAACGACAATTTAGACCGTTTTTGAATAAAAAATAGATGAAAAGGAAGATCAGTCAGCAATAAATAATGACTATTTTTGTACCGCAAAAAAATCAGATGGACGTAGCGGCAAAAAAAATGAGTTTTCGGGAAAAAATGAAGGCTTACATGGTTTTTACCAAGTTTAGATTGTCTTCGTCTGTGATCATTTCAGCACTTTCAGGTTATCTTTTCGCTGGAGGTAGCGGAGGCTGGGAAATTTTCTGTTTACTTTTTGGTGGAATGTTGGTCACAGCCGCATCGAATGGATCCAATCAAATTTGGGAAAGAAACCTCGATGGGATGATGGGGCGAACAGCAAAGCGTCCATTACCTACCGGACAGATGACGGTCAATGAGGCTGTCATTGTGGTGGGAGTATGTTTGATCGTTGGTCTCGGACTTTTATCAACCTTGAATTTATATTCTGTACTGCTGGGATTCGCAGCGTACATTTCATACGTATTTATGTATACTCCGATGAAGCGAAAGTCTTCATGGGCAGTATTTGTTGGGGCATTCCCAGGAGCAATTCCTCCAATGCTTGGAGCGATCGCACATACCAATGAGTTTGGTTTGGTTCCTGGAGTCTTATTCTTTGTTCAGTTCACCTGGCAGTTCCCGCATTTCTGGGCAATTGCATGGGTAGCGTTCGATGATTACAAAGCAGGAGGGTTTTCTCTTCTACCGTCAAAATCTGGAAAATCGAAAAATTCAGCTTTTCAGATTGTGGCGTATTCTTTGGCACTCATTCCATTCAGTTTGTTGCCATGGATTCTGGGTTGGACAGGTAACATTTCGATGATTATCGCAACGGCTCTGGGAGCGGGGTTCTTCTTCTATGCTTACCGCCTGTTTCTCACACTTGACGACAAGGATGCTAAAAAACTAATGTTTGCATCATTCTTTTATGTTTTCGATAAAGTCGAAGGGATGATGCCGTAATACCAGAAATTATGAAAGAAGATTTAGAAGAAACGCTCCAGCAAGATGAGCAGTACCCCGATAACAATCGGGCGCAAATGGAGAAGGCGAAAAAACAACTCACGTATTTATTAATCTTTAGTGTTGTAATGCTGTTTGGAGGACTTTCATCGGCATACATCGTTTCGATGGGGGACTCATTTTGGTTGAAAGTTCCACTTCCTACGGCATTTTGGGTAAGTACTGCGTTGAT